TACCAGTGAGCTTGTTCAGATGTTCCAGGTACTAGTAATCACCTGGTACTTTTCCAGAGCAAAGAGGCAGCGGTAAAGCTGCAGAGGATAATCTTATTACTAAAATCTAATAGTGAGAGAGAGAAAGCTATTTTTATGTGTTGTCAGTATTTATAAGTCTCTTCCAACCCAACTAAGAGAGTCATGCGGGAGGGTAAGTTTGTTTAGTATTAGGAAATTTCCTAACATAACACTTGTCATCAGTATATTNAGGAAGTGTAAGGAAAGGCAGAAAAAATATAGAAAATAAAAATGGAAATTGATTAAAAAAAGATTATCGAGAAATGTAAAAAGTTACCTCTTAAACACAAAGCTCTGTTATAATATAGACCAATCTCTTGAAAATCTAAGAAAAAAGACAAAATCATAAATTTGAAAGGGGACATAAAAATGATTCATAGAGGAAATTTAGGCATGAGGAGAAAATGGTGCATTTGTGTCTATAATAGTAGATATGATAATTTCATTGAAATGGATACTTTTTCTGGGAAAATTCAAACCACCAAAATCAACCCAAGAAGCAGAAAATCTGAAATTACCAATATCCATGCAAGAAATTAGACCATTAATTAAAGAATTACCTCCAATCTAGGCTCTTGTGGATTGTTCTACCAGTGAGCTTGTTCAGATGTTCCAGGTACTAGTAATCACCTGGTACTTTTCCAGAGCAGAGAGGCAGCAGTCAAGCAGCAGAGGATAATCTTATTACTAAAATCTGATAGTGAGAGAGAGAAAGCTATTTTCATGTGTTGTCAGTATTTATAAGTCTCTTCCAACCCAACTAAGAGAGTCATGCAGGAGGGTAAGTTTGTTTAGTATTAGGAAATTTCCTAACATAACACTTGTCATCAGTATATTAAAGGTGAAAACCTGCATATGTGTAGATGCAAAACAAAAATTGTGTGTCACTCAGCACCTTTACTAGTTTAAAAAGTATCTTATTTTTTGAAGCGAGGGATACTTTCAGCCTTTGGACAGTGTCTGGCACATGGGAGACAGGAAGTGTCTGTTGAATGAGTGATCTCTGTGATTACAGCTGTCATCTCAGATGATCAGCAGTATCATTCTTAATGGTGGCAAATTCCTTTTCAAAATTAGTAGTGAAGCCCATGAGGGTGGTCAAGAGTCAGAGAGCTTGATGTCAAGTCCTGATTCCCTCTATTGATGTGATAGCCTTGGGCAGGTTAACCGAGCCTTTCTGTACCTTAGTTTCATCATCTATAAAATAGGGATAATAGAAGTACTTATAGGGTTGTGAGCACTTAATGAGTTAATATATGAAAAATGCATAAAACAGTGCTTGGCATATGGTAAATACAGGTTACATTTTGTTATTTCATGATTAGACAGTATTTTAGAAGGCTGGTCAACTCAGTAAGATATTAAAGAAAGAGGTATGATTCCTTTCCTGCAGAACCCAAGGGAATCAAGTTTTAAAATACTTGGACTTAATAAGGAGGTTCAGAAAAATGGCCAGCTACGAGACAAGAAATTTTCTTAAATACCTGCAACAACTGGTTAATATATATAATAGGGAAAATAAAATAGAATAAAAAAATCTAAGAAAAGAAACAAACTTGAATTACAAAAATCCCTACATTTTGTTAATGAGAGATATAAATATTAAAAAAAAAAATAGAGACATAAACCATATGCCAAAATAGCAAGATTTAATATTATAAAATTTTCAGTTCTTGCCAAATTAATATATAGGTTTAATGCAGCCTCAAGTGGAGTTGTTCTTGGGAACCTGTCAAATGATTGTAACTTATCTGGAAGAAAAAATAGATCATAATGGCTATTAAAACTTTATCAAGGAAGAATATGGAAGGACTTGACTTAAAAGTTTTAATGCCTTATAAAGTTCAAGTAATTAAAATAGTATAATACAGGTACGAATAACTGGAAAAAAGATAGCTAGAATGGAATAGAAATCTTAAAATATATCCCCATATACATAAGAACTTAGTATGGGATTATGGAATCAACACAAACCAATGAGGAAGGTATTGGAAAAATAGGCTATTTGAAGAAAAAAAAAAAAAATCAAGTTAAATCCTGACCTTAAGGCATGCACTAAAATAAATTCCAGATGAATTAAGAATNAATCAAGTTAAATCCTGACCTTAAGGCATGCACTAAAATAAATTCCAGATGAATTAAGAATTAAATGTAAAAAACAAAACCATAAAAACTACTAGAAAACACAAGCGTATACTTATCTGATCTTGTGCTGTGAAAGGCATAAAAGCATTGAAAGAAATCACTAAGGAAAAGATTGAGTACATTAGAACATTTTCAAAAACCTTAATGACAGCTGGCCAGTTAGCTCAGCTGGTTAGAGCTTGCTGTTGTAACACCAAGGTCAAGGGTTCAGATCCCTGTACTGGCCAGCCACTGAAAACAAAACAAACTTAATTACAAAGTTAAGGACAATCCAAGGAAATATTTGCAAATGTATTGTATACAAATGACTGGTATCTTTAGTGTATAGAAGACATACACACTCCAATACAAAACTATACAGAGTAAGAAAAAAAGTTTACATGAAAAGATAATTCATAGCATAATCAATATGAACACTTCAAATAAAAATGTTTAGCCTTGTTAGGTGAAACTTTTTTTTAATTACTGTCATATTGGTAACTAAAAAATAATAGTGCTGGTGAAGGTACAGTAAAATGGATACTTTTAGACATAGTTGATAGAAGCGTAAATTGAGGTAACCTTTCTGGAAAGCAATTTGGAAATAACATGTCAAAGGTAAGCCATAACTATTTACACAGTGATTCTATTTTTAGGAATTGTACTCTCAGGAAACAATCAGAAATGCATNACTCTAGGGTCTTCAGAATGACCTTTGCCAGGGGGAAAAAATTACATTTTTAATATTACATTCAAGTAGGACTCTAGTTATCTAGATGATGGTTTTAAATAATGCCTCTCTTCTGCTTATAAGGTAAGGCATGCTACCTAGGAAAAAATCCCACATCAGAGTCACTCATGACCTCACCTCTGAGAGAACAAACTGAGAGATGACAGTTGTTTAGAGGGGTGATGGCACACTCCAGCTGTGTGGCACTTGAGGACTTTGGTGGTTTCCTGCCAGTGGGAAGTTAAGTTCAGGGGTTGCCCCATCCCTGGGAAGGAGCCACTGGTTCCAGTGAGCTTATTGCTGGGCAGTCCACAGCTCCTGAGTTTGTTTATTAGGCAATCCTCCTTGTCTCTCAAAGCAGTTTCTACAGAATCTTAGAAGTTTGTTTTCTGAGAGGTGAGGTTATGAGTGACTCTGATGTGGGATTTTTTCCTAGGTAGCATGCCTTACTTTATAAGCAGAAGAGAGGTATTATTTAAAACCATCATCTAGTGGGGCCGGCCCAGTGGCGCACTGGATAGTGCACCGCTTGGGAAGCGCGGCAGCGCGCCCGCCCGAGGGTTCGGATCCCACATACAGACCGGCTCCCGCTCACTGGCTGAGCG